TCATCTGGTTTGTGCAAAGTGTATATACAGGTTGATAATTCTTGAAACCGGAAGTGGTTCGGTTTTCAGATTTTTTTCAGATGTTGGAATACGGGCTTTTTAATTTTTATATTTCAATAAAATTGTGCAGTTTGGGAATGGAACCCAAGTATATCCACGATATTCCTTTACATTTCATAACACAGCTTATACATATACCCTGAAGGTAGTTTTATATAAAATTTAATAAATTTGGTGTACCTATCTGCATACAGTATCGATGACATCACTGGGAAAAGGAAAATATGGTAAGCTATCAGCATCTACCAACGATGTTGTGTTTTGATTAAAATCCTATAGAAGTAAAGTATTTTGTATAAAAAAACATGGATCTTGATTACAGTTGAATGTAAACAAAAAAAAACTGTTTTATTTGGAACGGTGCAGCACAATAATACTGTTTTCTGAAATTTTCCATTTGTAGGAAGTCATGTCAGAAAAACTTCTGATTTGTAAGGTTTTCGGATTTTGGAATTTCAGATAAAGGATACCCACCTCTTAATATAATCAATCCTTGCTGAACACTGTTCGGTTGGTTCATTTAACAACATATCATAACTTGGGTTATCTTATGTCGAATATAAATGTTATGGAACAAAAATCCAAATGAATTAAGATAGATAAACATGTAAGTCCGATTTAATCTTGATTGAAAATGTAAAAAAAAAATGGTTCTTTTAAATACTAGAATCAAAACGTCACACGTCCGTCACGCAAAAAAAAACAAAAAAAAAACTGGCTGATCAAGCTGAAACTTTTATCACGTGACCACAATAATACCAACTCATTGTACGCATGAACAGAAGGCAGTGTGACGAAACTAAATAAAGTGCGGATAGCTTCTGACTTACCGTCGTGTATGTGTGTATATTGTTGCGGGTTGGAAATACGTTGGTTTTTGTGTTGGTAAACAGGTGGCTCCTGGAATGTTTATCCCACAAAAAAATTGGTGGATTCGGTATGTGAGCCCGGATAATAAAATAAAAGAAACAGCTAAAACGAATAAATATACAAAAAATGATAATTTATTATTAAAAAGACACAAGGTGACATTCTTGCAATCGACAAAGACAATGATATTGCATGTATGTGAGAAAACAATGATCGTGTATGAAAAACATTTAAGGACTAGTGAATTGTTCGTGGATGTAAAATGTGTGTTGAAGACCAAAAGAAAATGAAGTTGCATATGCACGTATGAGTGTCCATTTATGTGTGCGTTTCTTAATGGGAAACACGTTTCCACAATAGACCTACATCCTATAGTGTCTAAGGAAAATATATAATATATAGGAAAATAACAAATCTCCGTCAAATCTTCTCAATTCAGTAAGCTATATTCTTTACCGTTCGCCTTCCACTGATTAGAAAAGATTTAAAAATCCACATGCATAGCCTGACTAAAGAACTCTCTTTGAAATCTCCAGATTATTCGTATATATGTTTCCGTCTATCTCTCAATTCAGTAAGCTATCTCTTCTTTCTCATACTGAGGGTACCGTGTTGGCAGTGTTTTGGTTGCTGTTCCCGTCCGGGAGTTAGGAGCCCGAATTATTGCATATGGTCTTGAGAGGCTGCTCTGATCAACAGATGCATAATATCGATTTGCTTGCAGTGTCACGTAACGGATTGATTTTTGTCCCTGCATGCACCACTGGTGGGCAACCCCGAGGCCACATTATGTTGCAGTCCGCGATAGTAACTTTCTGACCATACCACGTTTGAAGGCCGACTGCTACTATTATTTTAGGCCTTTTCCTTAACAATGTACCTCAATATAATCAAGTAAAAATATAAACCTAAACCAGTTCAAAGAATCATGTAAACTTTTTAAATTTTCCTTTTCCAACACCCGTGGTATCCGTACCAACTTCTACAGTGTGGAATCGTTCCTCATTGATAAGTCTCCTGATATACAAACTCTTTGCAAGACTAACCTTAACTCGTCAATCCGTTGATTTCTTGGTTCATGTCTGCGTTTCTCTCCTTAGAAAGGACTCTAAAACCCACATACATTACCTGGGATTTTATGTCAGCGATCATCTCCCGCTGGTTCGGGAACTCTCTTTGCAAGCTCCAGACCATTCATATATATGTCACCGTCTATCTCTCCTCAATTCAGTAAGATATATCTTCTTTCTCTATCGTTCTACATCTTCTCAAGACTGTTGTGTGCTCGATAGCATTTCCGATAATATAGACAGGGCTATCTCCCTACATCCTTTTGTAAACATATTCGTGTTCGGTGACTTTAACTTCCACCATATCATGTAGCGTAAACACTCTGTAACTAACCTTGATGGCATCCAAACCCTAAACTTTTCGATCACTCAATAGCTCACTCAAGTGTTTGACTTTCCTACGCGTTTCATCAGTTTTACCTCCATCTCTATTGCTGTGCTCTGTAGCTCTGCTCTCTTGACAATTCTGATCATGGCGTAATGTCTATTAATATGTCCATCGACTCCCCCTCCAGCCAGGAACCTCCTACTAATAGAATATGTTTCTGTTATCAACGCGCAGACTGGGACTGGTTCCGTGATTTCCTTCAAGTCGTCCTTTGCAATGTGGTTTTTAATCATCCTGCACAAAAATGTGCGTCCGAGGTCTTCTCCTGGGCAAAAACCGACATCGCAGCTTTCATCCCACCAAGAAAATACCAAGTAAAATCGCTTTCATCTCCTTGCTTCTCGCCTGCTTGTGCTGCCAATATAGCCCAGAGGAATCAATTCTTCTATCTGTACAGTCGCGACATGTCTGATTGCAACAGATGTCTCTTTGACTCTGCTCGTAATGGGTGCAAGTTTGTCCTCAATGAAGCAAAGTTACTGTTTGCTGATAGGATGAAACAATGTATTGCATCTCGCAAATTTGGTTCTTAATATAATTGGCGGCTCTGCAAGAGTTTGATGAACAAAGTAAATCTTCAAGCCTTCTATTCAATCAATTCGAAGTCCTAACATCCACTGCTGATAAGGCTGAATGCTTTGCTCGGAAACTCTCTTCCAACTCAACATTCGATTCATCTGGAGTACCCATACTTGATTTCCCCCTAGAACTGAGGCTCTATTGAGTGAGATGTGTATAACCCCGTCGATGGTATTCGACATCATCTCTAAATTTGACTCTCATAAAGCAAGTGATGCTGACGAGATACCAGCTGTAGTCCTAAAGAAATGTGCCCCTGAGCTGGCTCCAATTCTCTTCAAACTATACAACTATTGCCTCGATGATTCTTGTTTTCCAGGCGGTTGGGAGTTCTCTTCTGTCGTCCCTGGAGACCCTTCTGACCCATCTAACTACCGTCCTATCAGTCTCTTACCACTCTTCGGCAAAGATTTGAGGCTTTCAATGCCACATTGTTTAAGCATCTTACCTCCCACGGTCTACTCTCTGACAAACAGTATGGTTTCCACTTTGCCGGGTCTATTGCTGATGTCCTCAAGGTCATTACTGCATATGTATACCAAGCTATTGATAATAACTGCGAAACTTAAGCTGTTGCTCTATATATATCGAAGAAGTTTGACAGGGTTTGGTATGTTGGCCTTCTACGTAAGGATTGTAATGTTTGTTTTACCGCATGGACAGCCTAGATGGTTGCTTCTGCATGACAGAATGGGTGGTTTGGTTCAATTAGATGAAATGCAAAAAATGAATAAAAGAACCCATGAGATCACTGATGGATGTATTTGATATGCTTTTAGCTTGAATGTAATAGCTAACTGCCATCAAGACAGGTACCTGGAACTTCTCTCTTCAAAAAGCTGATGTTTTTTATAACTTTTTTCTTTTTCACGCGTGTTGCATTTATTTGGTCGTATTTCAGAATCTCTGTTGATTGCTGCCTTTCATTGTCGACTTGCTTTATATCCATTTTTTTTTCACCAACGTAAACTAATCATTCTTCTTTTTTTTTTAGTTCGTTTTAATTTTTTGTGTTTTTTTTTTCATGATTATCTTTCTGCTCTTTTTCTTTTCTCTTCTTCTTTTCTTTCTCTCTTTGTCTTTTCCTTTATTTCCTATTCTTTTCTTTTACTCTTCATCTTTTTTTCTCGTTCTTTATTTTCCCCCCTTTTTTTTCTCTTCTCTTTCACGTCATTCTCTTTTCTTACCTCTTTCATTTTTCCTTTTTGTTTTCTTTTCTCTGTCTCTTTCTCTTTTTTTGGCTTTTCTCTTTTCATTTCTCTTTTTTCTTTTCGTTTCTCTTTCGCTTCTCTTCTTCTTCTTCTTCTTCTTCTACTTTATTTTCTTTTCTCTTTCTTTTCTTTTTCGCTTCTTTTTCTTATTTTTCTTTCTCTTTTTGTCTCTTCATTTTCTCTCTTTTTTTCCTTTCCTTTATCTTCTCCTGTTTCTTTATTCTCTCTTTTTCTTCTCTTTTCATTCTGTTATCTTTCCTCTTCTTTTGCTTTCTTTTCTTCATCGTTTTCATTTATATTCACTTTCCCTTCTTTTTCCTTTCCTTTATCTGTCTCTTTATCGTTCCTTTAAATTTTCTTTTTCTTTCTTTTCTCTTTCTCTTCTCTAAACTTTATTTATATTTCTCTAATTTCCTTTGTCTTCCTTTTCTTTTTCCTTTCTTTATCTTCTTCACTTTCCTTTTTTCTTTCAATGCTTTATGCTCTATTTACATTCCTCAGATATGATTTCTCGTTTTCTTTCTTCTCTCTTTTTCCCTTTCTCTTCTTTTCTCTTCTTTTACATTTCTCTTCTTTCCTTTACTCTTTCTCTTCTTTTTTCTTTTCTCTTCTTTTTCTTTTCTTTTTCTTTTTCCCAGGACTGTTTGTCCTGTGGTAAAGTTCTTTCAGACGTAGTTTTCTGTCATTTTTAACTCATTGTTGAATTGCTAATGGTCATCTCGTTTTTTTTAATATGAGTAGAAATAGGCTTTCCTATCGCAAGGTCTAGAAACCCTCTCATTTCTCTTGAACAGGAGTATAGGCTTATACCTTGTTTCCTGT